TTGTTTGTTTATCTGGGGTCTTTTTGTTTGTTTTGTTTCTTTGAGACAGGGTCTTGCTGTGTAGCCCAGGCTGGCCTCAGACTCACAGCGATCCTCCTGCCTCAGCCTCTTGAGTGCTGCGATTACAGATGTGCACCACCCAGCCCAGCCTAGGTCACCGAGAAGGCTTTGCGTGAGCAGTCCCTGCCCACCTCTCTCTCCGCTCACTCCTTTGCTGTCTTCACTCCAGCCTCGGCTGCCTTCAGTGGTGACACCTTCCTGCCACAGGGCCTTTGTATGCACATGTCCTCTGCTTGGACTGTCCTATCCCTCAGATTCACCCAGGCCTCACCTCCTCCGGGAAAGCTCTAGCTCCTCTGGCTGGTCAAATGCACCCAATACATGCTCAGGACACCATATTCTTCCCTCCTTTCCTTTGCACTGACCGCGGGTGTGATTTTGACTATGTGACCGGTGTGGCCGGTCAACTGATACCTGCTCCCCGCTGGAAGGGCGGGCTCTGGAAGAGTAGAAGCCAAGTCGGCTTTGTGCTCTGTGTGTCAGCTCAATCGGTCCTTGTGAATGAGTCAGGCCTGGATGAGTGAGGCCCTGACTGAGCCAGGATGGGGCTCAGAGCCTTGACTCCCTGCAGGAGAAAAATGGTTCATTCCCAGGACTTGCAGGTCACAGTCGCGCAGGACACTGCCATCTCAGCACTTTTGCCAGCATTTAGTCACCATCTGAAAACAGTTTGCCCAGGTGTGGTGGCGCACACCTGTAATTCCAGTACTTGCGAGGCTGAGGCAGGAGGATTTCTGTGAATTCGAGGCCAGCCTGGGCTACACAGCAAGAGGGAAGAAAGCGAGGATAGAAGCAGTTTTGAGAAATTTGGGGTTACAGGAGAAATTCTGCAGGAGGCAAGATGTCCCCTGAGCGATGTCATGCTCTCTCTCCAGCACCCCACGGCTGCAAGGGAGCGAGCTTGCCAGAGTCAGGATCACTCATGGGAGGCCACATCCCGGGCTAGCTGAGAAACAGGGGTGGGGGGTGACAAGGAGGTGACAGCTGGGAACGTCCAGGTGGCCAGATCTCACCCTCAGAGGAGGAGCTGCGCTGGCCATGCAGGCCTCTGCCTGATCCAGTAGCCCCCGCCTGTACACAATCCCTTCTGCTTGGGGTTTCCCTTCCCCAGGCCATGGAAGCCCCTGAGGCTTCAATCCAGGAAGTGACCCTGATGCCATTGCTTAAAATCAAAGCCCTGGTTGGGTGTGATGGCGCACACCTGTAATCCCAGCCCTCGGGAGGCTGAGGCAGGAGGGTTACTGCAAGTTGGAGGCCCACCTGGGCTACATAGTGAGTTCAAGTCCAGCTTGAACTACATAAAGAGATCTTCTCTCACCAGGCATGGTGGTGCATGCCCATAATTCCAGCTCTCGGAAGGCTGAGGCAGGAGGATCGCTGTGAGTTGGAGACCAGCCTGGGCTACAGAGGGAGTTCCAGGTCAGTCCCAACTACATAGTGAGACCCTGTCTCAAAACAACAACAACAAAAATGAGAGAAAGAGAGTTATCTTCTCTCAAAATAATGATAATAATTAATAATAATAATTTCAGCCCTTCCCAGCTCCTTTCCTGCCTTTTCTTCCCCTTGAACATACTGCAGCACCTGAGCACTGGCTCCTAGGAGAACGGGCTGTGGGTCAGCACCTGGGACAGTACCTGGCCCGCAGGAAGTGTAGGATAAAGACCAGCTGAGTCGCGAGAGAGGGGCAGTAGATGAGAGGGAGCCTGGGGGTGGAAAGGGAAATCCTTCTCTGGACCCTTGGTTGCTGCGAGGAGGAGGAGGCCCCGAGCTGGTGGCACTCAGGGAGCAGCCCGCGCACCCAGGAAGTCTGCTGTGCCCGTCAGCCTCGCCGGCCCCTCCCTCCCAGGCGCTCCTGGCATCTGGCAGCCATCAGCCGCTTCCACAAGGCCCTGGGAAACAAAGGGCGCTAAAGCGGTCCCAGACCGGGCAGGCAGGAATGTGCTGGTGAGCTGCCCCCGGCCCTGGCCGCTGCCCGGCCCTGCCCAGAGCCACAGGCCCACTGGCTTCGGCACCCACACACCCCTCAGGCCAGGGAGCGCGAGGTCGCTGCCAACCGCACCGGATTCCTGACTCCAGATGTGCGGGCTGAGGAGGCAGCTGGAGGGCGGGAACCAGGGCAGGCACGCGGGACCCGACAGGGGCCGGGCACCTCGGGCAAAGTGTAAATAAA